ACAATGTATTATACGTGCATACATATACACACACATATACATACTAGACAATCAAATAAAAAAGCTAAAGAAAAGGAAATTGAAAAAATGATATAAAAAAACTAAACCAAAAACGGCTACATTATGGGGCGATGTAAAATATAAACATAAAATGAAATGTCAAACTATGTTTGACAGTTAACATAATTTCATGATGACAGCTGAAATAAACACAGTGAAATAATGAAATGTGATTTTAAATAAAGCATTTCTTGAAAATGGCATTTAAATTTTGAATGTCATTATTTAAAACGTACATTTATTTATTTAATGGGACATTTAATTAATTGTGCATTTCATAATTTAATTGTATGTTTATATTATTTTATTATGCATTAAATAATTAAATGGCACATATAATGAAGCATCGAGTGGTGCATTTATATATTTAATCACACATTTATTCATTTCATTATGTATTTATTTAGTTAATTTTGTCACCTTCATGCCTCCACGTGAAGCAGGCGAGCTGTCTCTTTAAAGCGCACGAGGAGGCGTGTAGGACGTCCGTAAGACGCGAGTCTCGTGAATGATTTCCAGTCTCAGGTTGGGTGACATTGTGAGACAGGACACCCCAGTACGGAAAGAACTAAATTTACCTGCGTGCGTAGAGAGCGCGTGCGAGGGGCTGCAGGTGGAGGTGGGCTGTACGCGTCACGGCTGTTGGTTTTACGCGCAGAGAAAAGCTTCAGTTGGAGCGCTCCGCTGGCGGCTCCTTCCTGCTCCTCGTGAGTGAAGTTTAACCTGCCAGGCTGACCTCCATTTCTCCCGGCAGACTTCTCTTGTCAGGAATGTGTTTCTCTTGAATCTCAGAGGGTCAGAGTCCCCGGGGCGCAGGTCCAGCCGCCTGTGAAGGATGTACACGATCACCAGAGGTCCCAGCAAACTGGCCACACAGCGACGGACAGGTGAGGCTGCTCCAACTCGCTTCTGGTGCAAACTTTCAGAAGTTCCTTCAACTTTGGTTTGTTTTTCCAGGACCCACTCAACAGCTGGACAGCAAAATTAACGAGTTCAAGCACAAACAAACCTCCTGGAGCATGCCTGAGTAAGTGCACCTTTCAAAATAAAAGACCAGATACTACAAGTGTGAATGCCACGTTTTGCTACAAAAAGACAGATTTGATGGCCTTTTCTCACAGTGGATTCATGCACGTGTCACGCTGCTCCCAGGTTCAAACCTGTCTGTTTCCTTGTGGCTCTGCTTGTTGTCATGACTTTGAGGCAGCCAGGCGGGCCCTGACTCTGTTCCTGTGTGACCTTGTGGAGCACATGGTCCTTGGTTCACAGCTGTTGTAATCTCTGACTGCTGCCCAACCAACCTTGCTTAAACGCAGGTTCAAAGGGCAACTTTGCAAACATGTGCTAATTCTCCATAAATTAACTTGTTTCTCTTTACGCGTGTCAGCCTTCCTGCACCAAAGATCATTTTTAACCGTCTGAATGGAAAGAAGCACCATCACCCGGCTCAGGCTGTCCCTGCAGACAGTCAGCAGGAAGAGACGTTCTCCCCCACACACCAGGAAAATGTCAAGTTTGTCTCTGACAGTAAGTTCTAATGACAAAACATGTTTTTATTGTTTCTGTGCGTGCAGACAGCACTTACTGGTTGATTTGTGACGTTGTGTTACTTTCAGGGGGGTTAGGAGCTACAAGACACCCCCCCCCACACACACACGCACACACACACTCTTTCAAGGCTACTCCCCCACAGCTGCTCTGACACTGATAGTCACGATCAGAAGTGAGCAGAGGAAAACTCACTCAGCCACATATCGGGCCGCCCATGGTCTTTGCCGGGTCTGTTCAAAAGTGGCCCTTTGAAGAACTGCCCAAACCCCAAACTGGTCCGTCTGAATATGATGCTTGAAAAATGTGAAACAGCTCAGAGATGCTTCCATACCTCGAGCCTCATGTTGCGTTAGTTGCTTCTGTGGAACAGTTGATCAGAGAGGTGAGGTGGACCAACCTGTGCACCTGAAGGCAGTTGTTGGATCGGCCCATCCATCCGACAGAATCCTGTAGATCGCTCCCAAGTCTCTTTTTCTTTTTTTTTTCATTCAAGCTTTATTTATACTGGTTGGTCTCATTGGATTCATTTACAAGACGGACCTGTTTTAGACAGACAACGTATAAAGTACAGACACAATAAACTACAATAAAAAAATGCAATTCAAATAAAAGTAGTGTACAAAACAATGAATCAGGGTGCCCTAAAACAAGAACATATTTGCTTTGATGTTTCTATTGACCTTATCAAATGTTTAAAATCCCCTAAAGAAATCAAAGTGGACAACTTCGGTTCCTGTTGCAAGGTGTTCCAGGAGCAGAGTAAGAAAAGGCCTTTTGGCCAAGTTCAGTCCACACTGAGGGGACGCTGCAGGTAATGAAGGCCTGAGAGCGCACGCTGTAACTGCACTGACGGCGTGACGTGGGAGGAGAAATAAGAAGGAGGCAGAACAAGGAGGGATTTATAGATGAAAATGAACCAGTGTGAGAGTCTACGTGTAGATAATGATGACCAACTGACCAATGAGTACAGAGTGCAGTGATGGTACAGTAGTTACAACCAGTTATGAATCTTAGTGCGACATGGTAGACAGCATCCAACATCTGCAAGCAGCTGGCAGGGACATTCATGTAAATAATGTCACCATAGTCAATGGCTGGTAGGAAGGTAGTAGTTACAAGGCATTTTCTGGCATTCAGAGTTAAGCAAGATCTATTTCTGGAAAAGAAACCCAGTTTTATTTTCAGCTTCTTTATCACGTTTTCGATATGTGGTTTAAAAGAGAGATGTGCATCAACCAAAATTTCCAAGTATTTGTAAGAATCTACAAACCTAACAGGAACACCATGCATGGATGAGATTGGAGGAAGAGTTACTGGCACCGACTTTCTATTGGAAAACAACATCCCTTTGGTTTTATCAGCATTTAGCACCAGCTTGAGGTGGAATAAGTTTGACTGAATGATGTTGAATGCACACTGTAGAAGCTTTTAGCAACTGTTAGCTCGGCAATAGACAACAGTGTCATCTGCATATAGATGCAAGGATGCGTCAGGAATGTTTAGACCTACATTATTTATATGAATAGTAAAAAGAGTGGGTCCTAAAACTGAGCCTTGTGGCACACCATTAGTGACCGTTGGGTAGCTAGATGAAGTACCGTTATGTCGAACACATTGCCTCAGACCTGAGAGATGGTTTGAGAACCAGCCTACAGTGTGATCTGAGAGCTTGTCGTAAGTTGTCGTGATCTACAGTATCAAAGGCTTTGGACAGGTAAAGTATAACTTAGTTACTTAGTTACTCATTAACTGAGCTCACTACAAGCATCCAGCCAGAAACATGGTAGAACCATTTCAAAGCAAATGACCTGAAATAGATTTTTCATTCAGTGCCAACAGCATAAAAAGGCGATATGAGTCAGGTCTCGTCTCTTTTTCATCCTGGAAGTTTTCCATAAAAATAGTGAGAACGGTGAGGAAACGAACAGAGCTGCTCACAACTTTTCACCGGAGACAAGTGGCCGTCAGCTGCTGAACACCGACCAGCAGAGCGCTATGATAACATCCCGGCAAGAAGTTTAGAAATGAAACCTTTCTGAGCCATGTGCCGAGGAAAGAAAAGCCGTTTTACGCTTTGGTTTGACCCCAGCAGCATCTCAGTCCAGAAGACTCTGTCTAAGGAGGTTTACTTAAACAGTGACCCAGTTCTGAAGTGTTTGGTTCTTTTTAACATTCACAGAAACACTCGGTCTCCAGGAGACCTCGCTGGTCTCTGTTGTTACTTTCTGTGTCCTGTTGGTTGTTGGCATTGACGCTGAGCCTCAGCGGCTCATAAACAACCACAGGAACCTTGTATCTGAGTGAACAAGGGCACAAAACATGAGCAGTTATAAAAGAATAAAATTCTGTTTACATTCATTACGTTTCCAAATGAGCTTTCTAAAAATGAAAGTCGGACTACAAGAGATTAAATCGGTTGCATGTTGTGATTTTATTCTGAATTATTCAAAATACAGACATTTGTCAGGGGAGGCAGGACTTTACTTTAGGTGTTACTCAGACACACAACTGTTTTTGTTCTTGTAGTTTTTCACATATTGCAGTGTCAAAGATGACTTTTATGATTAAACCTTTGTGTTTTTTAGTCTGGCAGGAAGTGACTGAACAGGAAGAAGGGAATCGGAGACTGGAGGCGTCCCAGAGAGCAGTTTACTACAAAGAGGCCAGTCCTGGACCTCACATGGACGGTGAGTACAGCTGTTTGTCCTCGTTCTACATTTTCAGCAGATTCTGTTGCAGAAACTGCCACAGTTGTAGGCTTGTACGTCCAAGTCTGCTCTAGCCATAGAGTTAGGATCTATTAAATTAAAGCTCTAT